GGTGTCAATTCAATGATTATAGGAACAGGTAATATCAAAATACGTCAATTTAGATTCTCTATCTAATAATAATAATTAATAATATATAATATAATATATTTTTACGGAATTCACCTGTTACATTAAATACCACAAAAAAAAACATGTTGCTAATTTAACATAAATTGATTTTCAACCTAATAAACCTTCGCTAAAAGACAATACAAATAGAAAACTAGAAATCACACAATAGAATAAAAACAAAAAATACTTAGTAATCAATATTACGTTTGAGCTTAATTTTATAAGCCTGAATTAAACAGATTAAACCACGGCAATTTCCAAAAATAGTTTGCATCGGACAAAATTCTTGTTAAAGGATTATTCCTAGACACATTGCTCGAAAATTGTTTAATTCTGAAGCCCGGTATATTTCTGGTGACGCATGTAGTCCTAGGAACATAAAAATCCACCAAACCAAGAATTTCAGGACAATCAATAGCACCATTTAGAAGTTTGTGTAAAAAACATAGGTCGGCAATGCGTCTCCGGTTTTCCAAGGAATGTAGGCTCAAATCCGATCTAATTGATGCGTAAGCTCCTTGGATATGTAGAATTCCAAGCTTATATTCCATTGTTCTAAGAAATTTCTTCAGTACTGTTTATAGCTTCTTACGATTTTGGTCAGTGAACGGAGACCACAATACCGATCCGTAGTCGGCATGGCATAGAACAATTGAACAGAAAAGTAGTTTCAAACATTGTACGTTCAAATCTTTAGCAATAAACCAAACAAGACCCCAACTGCGTATTAATTTATTGTAAGTAGCGTCAATGTGGGAAATTTAGTCGTCGATCGAAAATAAATCCTAAATCACTAATTTCAGATTTCTTTTGTAACAATTGATTGTCTAGGTAATAGTTAAATGTAATAGGGGATTTTATTCTATAAAACGACATTGCCGCACACTTTTTTACATTCAATTGTAGTCTATTAGTTGCACACCACGAAGATATACGACTGAGATCTGACTGTAAATTAATGCAATCTAATTCAGATTGTATAGAGTGAAAAATTTTTAAATCATCCGCATACATTAAACAGTCACAATGTGCGATTACATCCACGATATCATTGATCTAATGCAATAGTAAGAAAAGGGCCATTTCATTAAAAAAAAACTGAGTTTAGTTTTTTCGAAAAATGCACAGTTTTGGTGATCTGCGAAAAACCGCTTTTGGCGGCCATCTTGACAAGATGGCGGCGTCGACGGCAAGGTTCGAATGTGAATTTTAATTCTACGCAACCAAACCTTAGAAAATTTCAAAACTTCCCGAGTTATTTCCAAGTAAAAATCCCCAATGACTGGCCTATCAGCAGAACTTCTATAAAAATCAAAATATGCTTTGCTGGCAAACTTTTTACGGTAATCCACCTATAGTCTCGAAATTTGTGCCTCCAATGTTCTGATAACTTCACGGACCCCCCAAACAACGTTGTCTCTCGTAGATATACGTTCATAATATCCAGATTGGGTACGTAAGACTTGGATAGTCATCACTCATCAATGTACTGAACCAGTTACAAACCTTAATCACATCTTTTTTAACTGTCCCCTGTATAAAACCTATATACACAAATTGTATGAAAGACAAGGGAATTGTGTTCCCATTAAATATAGTCACCGTTTTAAGAAGTAACGACCAGGGGGTGTTTGACTTCTTAGTTGACTTTGTCCATAAAATTAACCGAAGCGTTTAACTTGAAGTAACAGTTAGCACTGTTTATAGATTAAAATAGAATTTCGTTTTCCTCTGTCTAAACCTACCTTGTTCATCGCCAACCAGGGTCGTATGTAGTGTTGTCTTGGAAGGCCTTGACAGGCCATCTAGGCAAGAAGCGAGTGTCTTTGTTACTTTCCCAGGTCTAATAGTAAACTAATGATACAAACCCGTTATAAGACAAAATGTAGTCCTCGTTTTGTAGTAATAGTTATTTGTACAACTAGAGAAGAAAGTGGAGTTTTTCAACTTAAGTTCAAAGTTGAACGAAAGTTGAAAAACACTTTCTTCTCAAGGTTTACACATAATTTGTACTGAAACTACAATCAAAATTGAAAAATTATCGTATGCAATAATGTAGTTTGGTACATAGCAATCTAGATACGGGTATGTTTCAATTTTAAACGTCATTACTAAGATTAACGCAGCAATTGTTTTTTACTTTCCTCACTAGAGACGAAAATGACATTTTCTTCACTCTTTTTAGAGACGAAAGTAGTTCTTTCTAAAGTAGTTTCAGTAAAACTTATTAGTTCAATTCAGTCATAGAAATTTAATCTTTTAAAAAGTGTGAAAAAGCGTAAAGTCCCTGTATAATTCACAAGCACAATATTTAAGTTACCTAAGTGAATGAATAATCAAACTCATAGTAAATTACCCTTACTTTAAATTAATTTAAATTCCCAAACATGCTCTGGGCCATTTTCAGTTCGTTTTGAATTGTGATTACCAGAGTTGGACTGGGTCACTGGGTCACCTGGGTCACTGGGTCGCTGGGTCACGTTATACTCTTTTCAGTTAGACCCAGTGACCCAACTTGACCCAGTGCCCCGGTTTGACCCAGCGACCCAATTTCACCCGGGGACCCAATTCGACCCAGTCACCTAGTATGATCGAATAACGCAGTTAAGTCAGTGCCCTCGGTTCAAGTGTACAGATTATGAAATAAATGAAATGCTGGTTTGTTGAAAATAATACTCGATTGCTTGACAACTGCCATTTCTGTGATGTTTGCTTTAATACTGCCGTAAAAAACTTTCCATGTCACGAATTGTATTAGAATAATGTTATTTCTAAACAGTTCCCTCCTTCGTTTCTTTGCTTCAGGGCTTACCAGTTTGCTTACAGGTGTTCATTCACATTTAATTTTTTTCTACTAGTTAGCTTAATCCAAATAAATCTTTTCTCTAAATACTTTCATTGACTACTTGACTGCAAACTATAAACAAATGCATTTGATTTTTTTAGGTATTAGTTCTCTTGAATGAAATTGGGCTACGTGCTTGTTGCCGAATATTATTGAGGAAGTTTTTTTAAAATTAAAAGTTACTTGAAATTGTTTTGGATGATACCTAACAATAATTTAATTACTGGGCCACCGGGTCAAGACGGGTCACTGAGTAAAGCTGGGTCAAGCTGGGTCACTGGGTCAAGCTGGGTCACCGGGTCAAGCTGGGCCACAGGGTCAAACTGGGTCACCGGGTCAAGCTGGATCACCGGGTCAAGCTGGGTCACCGGGTCAAACTGGGTCACTGGGTCACCGGGTCAACTGGGTAACTTAATCCTTACAGATCCAGAGCACTATTAGATGTATAATTAACATGTATATAATTCTATTCCAGTTGAATAAATTGAACTAATATACCTCAAGTCCTTCACAAACACAATTTTATTTATGTTGAATGAATTGAATGAATAAACCTCAAGCCCTATTTTTCAGTGAATTACATTGAATTCATTTAATTCCCATACAACTTAACAGTAATTTACAATGCACTTTTAATTGAGTGATTACTATACATCAAAGACTGCAAGCCTGCAATTAATCCTTCTAGAACAAAGGCTTAATTGAATGAGACCATCAGAAGCTTCAATTCATTCATAGGGCTTTAACGCTTTCAAAAGGACTTTTTGGGAAAGCTCCGGTATAATTTACAAACACAATTTTGGCGTAATATTTTGCCCAGTTTTGGCGCAGTACATTTTCGTTGAGACAGCTTGTATAAGTGTACAAGGGAGAGAATATCTGCAGAAACTAATAACGTAGGGTAGCGGTCTCTAATTTTGCAATGTCTGGAAATTATCTGTCAAATTCAAAGGAATATTTCTGCCACATTATTGATATGGTGCAGGTAGGTCTGCTTTTAGAGCAATCAAATAGCATTTGTCGAAATATAATTAAATTAGACTTAAAGTAATTCCGTAAAAATGCTCCTGGCCAGGGAAAGTGGTCTCCTTTGACGAATTAAATTTTGGTGTTTCACTTTCCTTTTCCCCGTTTCTTCCCTCGGGCGTAAAATTCGGTCTAAATGAAGAGTTTTGGTTAGATGTACCCGATTGGTGATTAAATGCGAATTACGTGCTGTAATACCCCAATTATGTCGGTTGTGATAAAATTGTGTTTTCATTTTCAGCATGAAAACGTTTAGAATTTTCTGCTAGTTCAAATGTTTTCACCATACATTTTTCATTTAGAAAATGCAAACATTTACTTGGAAAACATGAACGGTTAAAAACTGCACTTTCTTTGATTAAAAACACAACAATTTTAAACTCAGGAACGTAAATTAACAAATTCTAAATCTTCACGATCGGTAAAGGTAAGGACCTCAAAATATACCTACTGTAGATATTTATTGTGACATTTTAGATATGGATTTATTGTAATCCTGATGGCAAGAAAACAATACATTTTTAATAACTGTTTTTTCGTAAAACAATTATGTTTCTTTAATAAATTTCAAGGATTTAACGTTATTTAATTATAAACCTATCTAGGAAAAGCGCGTTCTGCATTTTAATGCATTTTTAAGTCGCGAAGTAATATAGGTCGCTTCGAATAGAAGCTGCAAAATGTATTTCTTCACTAATTCTATAATAATTAATAGATATTGATTTTAAGTAGGTATAGAAAGTGAACAGTTATAATTGCACGAAAGTTTTTTTGGAAACAAAAGTATTTGTACTAATTTAAAGATTTATTAGAACAGAGCGCGATTAATCGATTGATCACAGATACAAAATAAATTGCAACAGTAAACCACAAAAGCGTGCAATAATTGATTCATAAAAAGATCGGTACCTACCTGTAAATTAAAAAGACGCCTGGCGTCGCGATGGCTGCTGCTCGTTCTACGTACACACACAATCCCACGTTCCACTGAATCAATACCGACGCCGGCGCCTTTTCATAATTAGTTTTTTTGTCCACCGATTCAAAAAAAAAAACGAGAAAGCAATACGGTTAACGAAATTTATTAATCAATCGCATCGGAATTGTTAACGTATTGCGTTAACGCAATCAGCTCGTTAACGGAATTAACATTTAAATCGACGCTAAGTGAGTTCGCAAGGTTCGACGTCGACCTTTCGCAGTACACATCGAGCGACTTGTAAGCGGAAGAGATTTTCTGGAAGATCCCGTCGAAGAATTGCCAAAATTGTAGGCCCAAAAATAGAATTTTGGACAGAGGCGGTTGGGTCGGGCCTCCGTTTATTAACGGATGCCGCTCGTCCCAGTCCAGATCCAACGTTAGCTTCTCCAAACTGAACAGCTTACGCTTTAGGTTGTTGTTAGTTTTTTCCATCTTCTCCCTGGAAGGTTTGGAATTTGTATTTGGGAGATTGAGGGGCAAACTTACATTGAGGCTTTGATCGTTGCAATCTCCAACTCGATTCCGTTCCAAATACTGAATTTGGCTGAGTCTTTCATCTCTTGGAAATTTTCGACTGCCTCCAAGTGCGTTCTGTAACAAAAAGTGGATAAAGGTAAACCTCTCGCCAGGAAAGATTGCCGGTCACAGAATACTTGATCCTGGTCTACAATCTATGTTTTTCTAAAGATGTGAGAGACTTCCGGGATAGTATCATGTCAATGTTGAACAACAAGACTTTTCGTTCAACATTGGCACGATCCTATTCCGGAAGTCGCTCCCATCTTTAGAAAAATATAGATTGCAGATCAACACAAGGTGTGCTGTGACCGGCAATCTTTCTAGGCGAGAGTTATATTCGAATTTCCCGCCATTTACCTTTCGGTACATCTCAGTTGCTCCGCCAGGTTGCCCAAAGCCCGAATTGCACTTTCAGTTTCCTGTAAGGCCTCCCGCCAAATTGCGACATGCTGATCCAAGTACGAGCACAAATTCACAACGTTCTTTTGCACTTGCTCTTTCAGATCGCTCATTTTTGCGGCGCCATGAAACCGTATTGTTGGCTAAGGTCGCGAGACACAGATGGCGCCGTTTGCGATTTAGAAACACGCTTGCCTCCTTTTAATGATTACCGTTTTTTTATTCTCGTCCGCGTCCGTTAATCCTCGCCCGAAACATCTCTCCCATTCTATTGGGTCCGCTTATTTATCATGTAATGGAAGGGAGCCGCGTTTGTTTAACGTAAATCGTACGCGCGCTAGTTTTAAACTAATTGTAAAATGATGTAAAACGTAAATATACTGTCGTACGCGAAAATGAACGGGAAAATCGCCGCAACTATCACCTCAGAGGACAGTTTTCGTCCCGAACTTCTTAATCCATTCGTTCATCATTTGGAATTAGGAACGACCTATGAAAAAATCAAAGTAAGTCCAATTTTTGTGTTGCAAATTTGAAATGTTCGCGCCCGCCTACAATTAGTGTGCTACAAGTTACAACTAAAAAATTTGGTACTTTCACAATGTTACAGGAGCACTCGCGGTGCCGTTATTTGCACTATACAAATTGCCTACTTGCGTTTCTCCACTTGCAGTGCATAGTTTCACTGTCTTTCAATAAGTGCAATGGACTTGCATTCACATGCTTTAGAAACAATTTACCTGCGATCCTACGAAAGTTAATTACCTACAGTTCCACTTAGCTACCGACAATTAAAGACTCGATAAATAATATTCGGTTGTAGAAAGTTCAGTGAAAGTTCCCATTATAATTAAACGAATTAATCTGGTAATGTGCGAAGTTTGAACCACTCAAAAATAATATTAATTAGATGACGTCTTGTTGCAAGTCGCGCGTGAGATGAAAAATGCAACAGACCATGTTTTAATTAAGTTTCTTATATTGTAATTTCTCCTTACCACGATGTCCATCGCGCGCGTTCCCAAAAAAATGGCAACAGGGTCCCTTAGTTCAAAATAATTTTTAGCGTAACCCACGAAAGTGGAGCGCTTATCTCTTTTCCGTCCGTCGTTCCGTGCTATAGCTCAGTCACTAGACCCGGTATTGAGTTCGGGTTGTCGCTCTATGAAAGCTTCTGGGTTTCAGTTGTGCAGATATCAAACGTTAACTTTGGCGTCCATCACGTTTTTGCCCAAAATCGAGGTCAAAAACGTTATTTATGGACCAGTTTTGTTGGGAAAAAATCTAAACTCGATTGCATGATGCCCAGAAAGTAATGCATATGCAATTTTGACCACAAGATGTCAAAATCGTTATTTACCTATGCATCAATTTTCTTGACAAAAAGATCAAACTCGATTGCTCGATGTTCAAGAAATGTTAAAAACCCACCTTTTAAAAACAAGATGTTCATCAAAGTCATTTTTTAAGCGAATTAGCTTAGTAAATGATTAGGTTATGAGGTAGTAGCATGCTATATTTATCGATATTTACTTTCTTGATAGATGGTTAATGGGGAGGGGTTCTTAACACTTAAACATTTAAAGGCCGCCTGGCATACACTCAAAATATTCGCCAATAAAGCAAGAAAAATCAAGCTCTAAAGGTTGTCGCACACTTGTCTGTTCCGTTCCGTCAAGTGGACGGCCGGCAACGCGACGGTTCGTGACGGAACGGACTAATGTGCTCGGAGACGTTTAATTCCATGTCTTTTATTTTGAACGTTTTTTTAACGGTCCGTAACGTGACGAAAAGGAAGGGACAAGTAAGTGTGCGGCAACCTTTAGAGGAATTCGCCGAAATATTGCATTTTCCCTTTGTAAGTACCCTTCCTCCAACATTTTAAAGATTCACAATTAATTTTTTACATCGCCAGTAGATGTGTCTCGTCTTGTGATCTTTCCGCCCTCTGAGAAGTACCGTCCTTCGACACCCCGTTCTGCGGATATTTGCACTGGATATATTTCTTTCAAACGTCCCAATCGCTCTTTATCACCCTCCTACGAGGAGAACTATGGTTGGTAGAAATTAATTCCTTTGGAGCTGAAAGTTTGTAGGGTGTACGTCAATGGAAGATTGGTTTAGTAGTTTTATGTGGTAGTTTCAGACGCCTATCGCTGTCCTTCTTCCGTGGACTTAAAATTGTTGTATTAAACACGTCTTGAATTTAACACTCAACGGATACACAAAATGGTGGGCGTCTCCATCTTAAAAACTGACATCAACAGGTGGACCTTTTAACTTAAGCTGCGTATGCATTATCCGAACCGAACGTGTAATATTCTCGTTCATAGTTCGTTCACTTTTGACAGAAGGAGCACGAACACGTCATTGCATATTCGTGTTGTGCTCCGACCGATTCGGGCACGCTACGAACATGCAGAAGTACGAACAGACGTCCCAACTGTGCGAGCGAATCTCTTTGGTTTCGACACAAAAGCCGACTTTTGGTGGAGCGAGTGAGCACGTTGCGACCCTGCTCGCTTCGTGCTCGAGGTACTATCACAACTACACGAATTTCTTATGTGGAATTATTTACATTTCTTTTGAATCTTCACCCTGTTTTGGTTGAGAAGTCTGATCGAAAAAGTACGAATTGTTTTGGATTCTACGCACCAAAATTAATAAGAAAAAGTGTTTTCTCGAGAAATTTTGGTGCAGTCGATTTTTGGTAAAAAAGGAAGGTTAACACTGCCTTTTTTTGAGCCTCGAAAAAAAAATTGTCTCAGATCGACCCGGAAAAAAATTTTCTTATAGAATGTGGCCTGTAGAATCCATAATTTCAAACAGTTTCAAGATTGGGCTACTAGTTCAAAAGTTACAGCCCTTTGAATTTTTTTTCGAAATTGGTTTCTAGTCTATAACATTTGATCGAGATGTCTAATCGAAAAAGTACGAATTGTTTTGGATTCTACGCACCAAAATTAATAAGAAAAAGTGTTTTCCCGAGAAATTTTGGTGCAGTCGATTTTTGGTAAAAAAGGAAGGGTTTACACTGCCTTTTTTTGAGCCCCGAAAAAAAAATTGTCTCAGATCGACCCGGAAAAAAAATTTCTTATAGAATGTGGCCTGTAGAATCCATAATTTCAAACAGTTCCAAGATTGGGCTACTAGTTCAAAAGTTACAGCCCTTTGAATTTTCTTTCGAAATTGGTTTCTTTTGTAGTGTATAACTTTTTATTGAGAAGTCTGATCGAAAAAGTACGAATTGTTTTGGATTCTACGCCCCAAAATTAATAAGAAAAAGTGTTTTCCCGAGAAATTTTGGTGCAGTCGATTTTTGGTAAAAAAAAGGAAGGTTATACACTGCCATTTTTTGAACCGCGAAAAAAAAATTGTCTCAGATCGATCCGGAAAAAGAATTTTCTTATAGAATGTGGCCTGTAGAATCCATAATTTCAAACAGTTCCAAGATTGGGCTACTAGTTCAAAAGTTACAAATAAACATAAACAAATGCATCAAGGAAGAAGAAGAGAGGAATATTACCTGCGAAGTGAAAACTTACTTTACTCAATTTTCGATTTTTTTGGCTTTTTTACAAAGTAAATTGAGGAACGTTCAAGGGTTCTCTACCTAAAAGACAACTTTCTGGGTCTCTGTATAGTTGGCAATTCACGACTAGCGAGAAATAAATTAAACAAGTTAAAAAGTAATCGTAAACGATTTACATAAAGCGCATTTCCACTTGCATTCATTTCCCATTTGTAAGATGCAACTTCTTTTAAAATCGTAAAAATCCGGCCACAAATATGAAAGATAGCGTTGCACATGGGCAATCCATTGTTGACGTGCTACTTCAATTTCAGATTATGAGAAGAATTTATTTCAATGCTTTTCTAAATAAGAAAGTTGGAACTGCGCATGCGCAAACCTAAATTTTAAAACTAATTTACTATAACTAACTAATAAACTAAGATTTTCCAATGTTCCAAGCGCCTAAGTATCAAATTTCACTTAAATAGTTCCATAGATAAAAACGTTGGCACGGCGTATGCGCAAAATAAAATTTTGAAACTGGCGCTAGATTTTCCTTTATTCCAAGTGCCTATGTATCACATTTCATTTAAATTCTTCCATAAATAAAAAAGTTGGCACTGCGCAAGCGCAAAACCAAATTTTGAAATTGGCGTTTGATTTTCCTTTATCCCAAGTGCCTATGTATCAAATTTCGTTTAAATTCTTCCATAAATAAAAAAGTTGGCACTGCGCATGGGCAAAACCAAATTTTGAAATTGGCGTTTGATTTTCCTTTATTCCAAGTGCCTATGTATCAAATTTCATTCAAATATTTTTATAAGTAAAAAAGTTTGCAATTCGGTTTATAAATGGTCGAGATGCGAAAAGGGCACTGTGAATTTTGAATCGATTCGATCCAACTTTTGGCATTGCGTATTATATGGCTAAATCTATGCCCATATTGAATTTCATGCAATTCAGTTCATAACTAACGGAGATGTAAAAGCGATCGAACATTTCCAAACAAAGTTATCGTTCACACGGACAGATAGATGGACAGACAGACAAAGGAACAGACGGAGAGACCAACCGGCAGGCGACAGATAGAAATGCAAAATTATAAACGATCTCTAGGATCGTTAATAAACGGCAAAAGTGTAAAATTATGGAACATGTAAAAAACGGTTTTTTGTTTTTTTTAAAATAACTTTTTTTGTAAGCGGTACAGAAAAAATTCCTTCCTTGGTACAAGACTCGACACCATAACGAACCAAATAGCGAAAAAAGTAGAACAATAGTTCTTAAGATAAAAAACTAGTAGCGTCGCAAAGTTAGCGGACGGACGGACGGACGGACGGACAAAGTGGCCACAATAGCGCATTTTTTTTTTATTTTTGTGGAAATGCGCTAAAAAGAAACGTTCATCATGATCGGGAAAGTTAAGTCCAGTCCAGACTTTTACCGCATGCAGTGCACTTCTGCAGTGGAAATATTCTTGCCCCGTTTCCACACAGGGTTCAAATTGGCACCTAACGTATCTTGTTACAAATTAAAAGAATCAGATGTTAAAGGAAAGGCAAGCGAATATCAATTATCAATAGGCATAAGAAAAAAATGTTTTTAAAAGAAAGGTATAAATGGATGACCTGACGAGATTATAATTCATTACATTGCTTTCAGCTATTGCTTTCGCTACTTAACAATTATTTTAGTGTATGTGATACACTTACGCTTCTCTGTCGCACAATGCATTTTAAATATTGATAATAGAAAGTAGAGAAATTGCATTATCTATGTGCAATTTCATCAAGGGGTTCACGAGTACTCTTAACATAATTTCCACATCAATCGGTTGCCACAGTAACTAATGTCCCTAATGCATTTTTACTTAAAATGAAATCAATTGGACGTTACAAACCCTCCAGTGAACCACTCAGGATGAAGCAAAGCTTGTCTCTCCCTATACAAGTGGAAGTTTCTCACTAGCTGGTCTTCAATGCGTAAATACAT